AATGACTCATGTAGACAAAAAAAAAACCAGAAGCGAAGAGTTTTGACCTTTTATGACGGAGGATTCTCTCGTAGATTTGTATTATGTTGTAATCCACTCTGATGAGGGTGAGGACAAACAGAGGGAGTGGTTGGGGTAATGCACTCTATAAAATAGATGATGGTTTAAACTCGCATGCATTTAATCCACCTGTTTAAGCGAAAAAACTTTTCGCTACCCTCTATTATGTCAGTTGTTAACGGCCTACAAATCTGTTCGTAAGCTATCTAGTGCAGCATTTCTGAATCTATTTCGAAGAAAAACTTGTGATACCAAATTCCCAAATACAAAAACATTTAAGAGTTGTCTCTGAGAAGGTTTAGTAATTACCTGACAACCACGATTTCTAGAGTTTTGGGGTTTTGGTTCGCAATCTTGGAACCTTTTATTAGAAAAACTTCAAGATCTTATAATTCGTTGAAAAGTGAATTCAATTATGTAAATACACTGTTTTTTAAAGAGTTGCAGAAGGTGATGGTACTCAGCAGTTGCAAAAATCCTTCATATTTTTTTAAAATAGCAGGTTTGCAGGAAATATTCGTACGAAGACTAAATGCTTTGTCTGCTACAGATGGTGAACTTGCAGCATCTTATATATGTATGCTTTATATTCAATCTATACTTATTCGATTTTTGACTGTAGACAAAGGAAAAAGATTTAGGTTTTTCTGCTTCCATCGGTTTTATCGCTAAAGAATGATTCACAAGGTAGTTGTGCACTTTCTGATTGCTAAAATGAAGATGTTCGTCAACTTATAGTAATTTGCGAAAACAGCACACTAAATCAAAGCGAAATTGAAAGGATCTTGTACACAGTGAAAACCATGCGCTCGATTCTAATTAAAGGAATGCAACCAAATGGAGATAGTGGTCAACAACTGCCAAAAGGAGGGATTATGATGGAGCCGGTGAGCTAAACGTAATAGCTATAGATTATTTAAAATATTTGGAAAAAAGAAAAAAGCCTAGGAAAATACTCTTATTCCTTCTATGTAGTTCCATTTAGAGCTGGGACTGCGAGTTGGAGACAATTGCGACAGCTGCCTTGAATGGGACGTGTATTGAGAAAGATCAGCTACCATCACCACCCGCTAATCTCACTCCTTTCTTTGATAGGTGAGCGTTTGATTGAAACGACAAATTGCTATAATTGAAGTCGCAAAATATTTTCTCCACTCTTGTACAGAATTCGTCACACGCCTAGCAGTGAGAAATTTATCTAAATTGCGTGAGCAAGATAAAATGCAACGCTTACATTTACGTGATGTTTCTAGTATTATCAAATTCGGCAACATATTTCCTCAATACAAC